CAGGCACGCAGGTCACAAGCACACACACATAGACAGACTTAGAAAACACAGCAGAATGCGGGAATCTCAGCAAGGCATCCATTCCATCGGCAGAACTTCAGAAATCAGCAGTGTTCTCAGTCTGTGTTTTGACGGGTCATTACACTACCCCCCSCTCAAGAGCGAGGTCCCTTCGAGCGAGTAACTCAATCAGAGTCCTTGCACAATGCATCGTAGGCGTAGATAGCAAAGAGAGATCGGGTGTGTTCCGTAGGAGTCAGGGTAGCAGTGAATTTTGGTTGTTGTTCAGAACTTACCAATCGTTCGTAGGCGTTAACGACGCGCAGTGCACTCTGCAGTAAGTCTTTCTTAGCGATCCAGTAGAAATCATCCAACGGGTGGTACATAAAATTGACTTTATACTATCTGTTTCTTCCCTTCCCACTGTGCTCAACAATCCTATCAACCTCATGACCGCCATTGATTGCGCGGGGAATCATCGATTCTCGATACTTGAAAGTTTCGGGTGATTCATACGGAAACAACTTCGATGCGTGAAAGACTGGATATGTGCGTAGATGAGTAGGCACATCGATCGTATACGAAGGGCCAAAGGAATCACTCCCTACCTGGTTCAACACCTTCCATGGACCGTAATACTGAGGAAGAAGCTTTCGTGATACACCTTCTTTTTCAGAAAACTGAGACATTTTGACCCAGACATAACTTCCCATTGTGAATGGTGCAGGCTGGCGCTTTTTGTTAGCATGTTTAATCATGGCACTGCGCCGCCTCTCCATAGCTGCGACAACAACTTTGAGGAGGCGATCAAACTTAGCGTTGTAGCCTGGCTGGCCAGGTGTTAGGCCAGGTGGCTGATCAGGGAACAAATAAGATAGAGGATTGCGGATTTTCCATCCAAGATGCAGCCGGTTAGGCGTCATCCCGGTGGAGGAGTGGATGGAGTTGTTGTACAACCCCTGCACAATCGGCAACTCCTCATCCGAAGAGTTCTGATCAGGTACAATTAGAGCCCTGGGAAGTTGGATCACGGTCTGGTTGATTTCCTCGGCCAGTCCATTGGCTTCGGGATGTCGACCAGACGTCATCTTGAGTTTCATGTCGTAGGTCTGGGAGGTGAAATCTTTCCAATCCGCACTTATGAACCTGGTGTCCCGATCGCTCACAAGAGTCTTCGGGGGGCCATAATGTAGAATGTATCTCTTGTTAAACTCATCGATCACAAGGTCAGTTGGGGCATGAGGTGGCAAGGGGATCAAATTCAGAAATTTCGAGAAACGATCAACGATCACCATTACTTGTGAATAACCGTTTCTGCTCTTCTTCCCCATGTCCGTGAAGTCAATGGAAACAGACTCTCCCGGGCCATCAGGGATAGGAAGAGGGTGCAGCAGCCCATAGGGCTTCTGCCGAGACGGTTTGATGCGCTGACAGACTTCACACTCAGCTACAAACCTTT